AAAAATAGTTTCAACGTGGAAAAATAGGGTAAACTTATTCAAAGTAAAAGCTTGCTTTACAAAAGCGTTTTTGTATTTGTATTTTTTTCTTGCAAACAATTAAATACTAGGCTCAAATGGTGCAAGAAGTGGTTTCTTTCATAATGTCTGAATATTTTTTCTTTACTATACGACCCCCATTTCAAAATGATCATCTGCAAGTATGCAAACAGAGCCAGGCTTCCGGAGAAATGCTAAGGGTAGTGTGGCTTCGGAAATCGGTCTTAGCAAAGCGGAGAAATTGAATTGGTTAGTTTTTGCAGCCATTCTCGCAGGCCCAAAAATCGTTTTTGTTCAAGATAGAGCTTGAAAAAAGTTTCAGTTTGTTTGCTCTAAGCTCGCACAATCATTTGATTAATCAACATGCTATAGATAACGAGTTGGAAACTCGATGATGTCAAAAAATCAAGCCTAATTGAGACGGGTTCTCGAATGTGTTAGAAAAAAAACGGATCTTCTTCCCAATCGCCCTCTCTATGATATCTACTAAAAAATTACCACCCCTGTATATAAAACCAGTAAATAAGCACTAGAGCGTTCTATGTAAAGTTCAATTTTTTCTGCATTTTGTTTGGCCAAAAATTTGACTAACTGAACATACTTAACAATTGCCATCTCTTTCTTTGAAAAAGGGTCATTATTAAGTAGATCCGAAGCAACTGCGATACACTACACAAGTAGTATAATTACACTAGTATGAATAATCTATAGAAACAACTAAACATCATAACCCAATCATTACTCTCAGTTGACACAGGTCTTGACTGGAAGGGGCCAAACTAAATGATCGACCAATTACTTACTAAAGTGTACTGTCCATATAACAAAGTTAAAAGAAAACATTCATGTTTGAAAATTATACAAGACTGCTCATACAAGAAAACTAAACAAAATTACCGGTGAAATACTAAACAAAATGATTACCGATGAAATATCTTTTTGATTTTAAGCTCAGGACAACATTTTTTTAAATTATATAATAAATTTTCCCCCAAGAAAACTTCCGTTGAAATAAAATACCGTTTTCCAGCTTTTGAAATGCCTGATCAAAGACCATAAAATAGTACCAAAATGAAAAGGTCTGAAGCAACTCATGGTCCATATCAGGGGCGGATTTGGGATTCGACCCCCTGCCGAGCCAAAGGGTCCCCTCTTTGGTACTTTTAAGAAATCCAGTTTTGGCTGACCAACCTTAAAATTTTTCTAAAGGCGCCTTCGGCCCCAATATATACTAATTTTCCAAAAAGTGCCTAAAAACGCCTTTTTTGGCCCATTTTTTTCAAAATTTTGTCTGCGGCGCAGAAAATTTGGCCAAAATAGGGACAAAACAGTGCTTTGGCAGGGCTGGAAAATTTAATTTGGTCGACCTAAAAAAAAGGTCGACAAAATTATCGAAAATTTTTTGAAAAATAAAATGAACTATTTAGGCGAAAAAACGGTTTGTTCTGTTAATACCATCTTATCCTTGAAAATGCCACATAAGTCAGTTGGTTTTTTTAAAGGCTTAAAAAACTGCTTCTTGTAGCCATTTTTGACATGTGTAACGTATCGAATTGAGCAATTTTACTCTTTACCTAAATTTTGATCAAAATATTGCTCAAAAAATGTAACTGACGTTTTGGTTCAGAAAATAAAGTATCTGAGAATCCGATTTGAAACAAATGGGTGAAAATGTTTGGAGGTAACTGAGTTTAAAGTCATCTCCCGCTATTCCTAGGAGGGAGAAAAACGTAAAAGAAGCTGTTTAAAAGCTGGCTTAGACAAAAAACAAAATGAAATTTATATGCAAAAAGAACGGTTTGTTCTGTTACTACCGCTATCTTTCCATTATGACATTGGTAAATTGTTAAAGCTTGTTCCGCTTCGCTCCTCTTCGTATGTATTCGGTTTGAGTTGTTTCATGTGTTTGAGTTATGAATCTGATTGTCTGGAAAAAAAAAACCTTGTTAAAAACTTGTTTTGTAATTGTTCCTAAAGTGGAGCCGGCAAACGCAGGGCTTCGCCCTTTTATACGAGCACTCTTGTTTGCGATCTAAAGTTTTTAGGCTACGCTTAAAATCTCTTTTATTTCTTTATATAGTTTTGCATTAAATAACGTCCCCGTTTCAATGGGTACTTGCAGGTTTATAATAAACTGAAACTAGTTTTCATTTCAAGAAAAATATTCTGTTCTTTTATGAAAAAGAAAATCAAAACCAAAAAAAGTAGTTTCAAAGAGGTAAATTTAATTATAGTAAAAGCTATTTTTTTTGTAAATTGAACATGACAGTCATTCCAAGTTCATTTTTTGAAGTAGTTACAGGTTTATACTCATTTAAATTGTTCGCTGCTAATGACAAAGAAAATCAAATAAATGCATGGTATGCTTAGTTGTTAATGATTGTAATAACAATCAAAAAAAGTTGTTTTGTGAAAAAGGAAACATTATCAAGGAGATAAATTGGGTTAAGATGAACCATCAAAACAATAATAAAACAATCTGTGTAGGGTTTTTATGCCCTTAAACTTTAGTGTTTCAATAAATATGCAATGTTTGAAATTTTTTATTCAAACTTCAGAAAAGAATGTTTTATTGGCTTTTGCTATTTTGCCGCTTAAATTAGATAAAACTGCCCCCACTCAGTAAAAATTGGTAATACTCGATTATATTATAATTATAATCATACTTTTAGCAAAGTTGTAATAAATTATGAGCGCCAATTTTAGATGTTTGAACGATTTATAATCCATTATAATGATAACATTTTTGGTGACTTTTCGATATATTATCATTAATTATATTTGATTATAACTTTTCCGAACTGATTATAGTTTTTACCGATTATAATCTTTTTTTTTCTATCAAAACATTATCTAACAAAAACAATTATATATAATATATCATAGCTTAGCTATTTTGCATTTAAACACAGTAAAGTTCAAATTCAATTCAATTTTAAGATGTAAGCAGGAGCAAAGTATCTAGGATTTTCTTGAGGGGGATGTATTTTCAAACAGTAGTCATAAAATTTTGTCGACCTTTTTTTAGATCGACCAAATTGATTTTCCGATTTTCCGAGCTCTCTCAAAGCACTAAAAAAGACTCTGTTTTGGTCAAAATTTCTTCGTCGCAGGCAGAGTTTTGAAAAAACTGGCCAAAAAAGTCGCGTGTAGGCACTTTTTGGAAAATTTTGACCAAAAAATAGCGTTTTTTGGCGCGCGCTCCCCCATCTAATTTAGTATATATTGGCACCAAAGGCGCCTTCAGAATGTTTTTAGGCTCCGTTACTAAAATGGCTATAAGTACAAAATTACAGTTTCTTTTTCTTTGAGTTCAATAACCAACTGCAAAACACACAAAACAAAACAAAAACTGATACGAAATGAAGGGATGACGTTTGTTGAATAATAATGGATTATAATCCATTATAATGGATTATAATTCAAAAAAATTTGAGAAAAAATTTTCAAAAAAAAAATTGATTATAATCGATTAAAATGATTTTTATTGTTTTAAGAAGTAGTAACATTATAATCCATTTTCAATCAATTATAACCATTTTTTTTTTGAATTTTATGGAGACTGATAATAAAATCCATTATAATCTAACATTTTTTTTAAACTGAGAGCGGGTAAGGCTTACGAAATAAGAAACGCTTTCCTTACTTTGAAAAACCAATTTTTTGTAAACTTATCAAAATTAGAGCTGCTTTATTTAAGTATTGTCTAATGAGCCTTTTGATGAAAAAAACTTCAAGAGTGACTGCGTAACGCGGAAGTACAGCAATTTTGATTTTGACTTTTTTAAACAAAACAGTGTAGAAAGTGTTTTTTTCTTCCGATGATGATGATGATGATGATGATGATGATGATGATGATGATGATGATGATGATGATGATGATGATGATGATGATGATGATGATGATGATGATTATGATAATATTGATGATGATGATGATGATGATGATGATGATGATGATGATGATGATGATGATGATGATGATGATGATGATGATGATGATGATGATGATGATGATGATGATGATGATGATGATGATGATGATGATGATGATGATGATGATGATGATGATGATGATGATGATGATGATGATGATGATGATGATGATGATGATGATGATGATGATGATGATGATGATGATGATGATGATGATGATGATGATGATGATGATGATGATGATGATGATGATGATGATGATGATGATGATGATGATGATGATGATGATGATGATGATGATGATGATGATGATGATGATGATGATGATGATGATGATGATGATGATGATGATGATGATGATGATGATGATGATGATGATGATGATGATGATGATGATGATGATGATGATGATGATGATGATGATGATGATGATGATGATGATGATGATGATGATGATTCTGATGATTATGATTCTGATGAAGCATTATTTCAAAATATATAGCATGTTATAAACAAACCAAAATATATAGCTTTTTAGCTATCCTAAAAAAGCCAGACTACCAGCTTCCAAACCCTTATAATATTGCTGAAAATTGTTGCAGGTAAGCTATCATTTTAGTTTTGAGCCCACGACATCGATAGCTTCCAGGGGATTTTCTAGATTAATTGCCTCAGAAATGGCTGGCTGAAAAAAAACAACCACCAGGAGCACAAATATTAAATATTCCGTCATTTACTAAAACGTTTGGGAAAAATGTGAAAGTAGTTTTTGACGAACGTCTTTTACTTTGTTCAATTACGAAATATGACTCAATTTTTTTGTGGTCAAGATGTCTCCGTGGAGTGGAAGCGACAGCTTTATATCAGGTACGCGAAAGCAGAAAGCCGAAAGTCGGAATTATGAAGTTGGTTTCTGTACTTCTCAAAGACAAAAACACATTAAAGCAGGCTGAGAATCTTTTTTTAATCAAAATAGGCTACAAATACATACTAAAATACTGTACTTTGAATCAAGTTTTCTGATATTCAATAAATTTTTTGATATTGTTTTTTATAAGTTTCCGTCGTTAGTGCTGTTTTTGTTGTTTTTGTTTTGTTCATCACATTGGTTGTGTCAATGTTATTGGAAGGGGGTCGCCTCTTTGTGGAGATGATTACGCAGGTTCTTCGGGAACAAAGCATGCTGAAATATTTATAATAATTATCTTTTATGCAATAATTTTTTAACTAACTAAAGTTCTATTGTGAAGGTATTTTGTGCTTTAACTAACGAGGGTGTAGTAAACAAAATTAGAATCGAAAATAGCTGAGATTTAAAATTATTCGGCAGCTCGAGACTTCCTTTCAAAATTATTTTTCACGTGGATAGCAATGACCGCGTTAACTGATTTTCCGCGCCATAAAGACTTGATCAAAAAAAACTGAGCAACCTTGTCTTGAACAAAATAGTCTTGATCAATATTTTTATCCCTATTTCATTCATAAAACTAGAATTAAATAAAATTGCTTTGTTCGACGATAGTTATAATGATCACAATTTCTAAAGAAAGACTTGGTAAAATGTTTTTGAATCATCTATCAACCGTGCTAAGATTCTAACAAAGATGGCGGTTTAGGGCGAATCTCGAACCTACAACCTTTCTACTGATAGGCCGAGACTGTCGCAGCCGATCCCTAATCTGAGAGCTACTGAGAGGCCGATACCCTAATCGAGATTTAAAAAGAGTGGAATTGTTGTCTTACCCTCGCACAGGGTAGCGTGAACAAGTCCGTCCTCACAATCGTAATCGTCTAGGCCCACATTTTTGTTATCCGACACCTTCTTCAATGCAACACATCTTTCGTCGAAGATTACCTTGTCTGTAATCGAAAACAAAAACAAAAAAAAACTCATTTGTTAACTGAACTGATTGAAAAGCAGGGAATCGAGGGTACGAGTCCCAGAGCTGTCAGATTTTATTGTTGCTACATAAATATCTATAAAGTGTTGAAAAAGTTGAGGAATTTAGGAAATTTGTTTAAATTATTCTCGTTTTCAGTTTCATCTCGTTTAATCTCATTAATATCATGTAATTTTGATGTTTCTCTCGAAACAAAATCTTGCTTTAATTACTAAATTAAATAATTACTAAATAAATTTTAAACAAAATTGGTTAATTGCATTTTCAAATTAGTTTTTCGGATAAATGTTTATTTCTTAAAATAACTTGAAGCAGTTATCAAAACGGAACGGTTTGTTCGTTAAAAATATGAGCAACTATACGCCCTATAGAACCTAGTAATCGAAACTTTTAACGAAACAAGATTGAAAATGAGCAGTCTAAAATAAGTCGCTTGGATGGATTGTTTTTGCCATTTTAAAATTCTGCTCTGATAATAGCAACCATGTTAGTGCAACTAGATTACCCAGAGCGGCCTTTCCTCCGTCGTTCGGCTGTTCTTGAACCGCGTTGCTGCTGTTCCTCCACAGGGCAGGGTTCATAACCACTCGAGGGCAGTCCAAGTACATGTCATAGTAAGCCTAACCACAGTATAAATGAGTACATAAAATAGTCTTTCCGATCACAGTTGACAGTGCAAATAAGTCAAGTTAAGACCCTTTATCCACTAGGGAGGGGACCAAGTACGAGCTATAAAGCTCATGACGGCCAACCGCAGTTGTACCCCTGCTTAAGGACTACATGCAAATTTTCTGGCTATTTTTCTGGCTGGTTAATGTTGCCTCACCCTCAAACAACGAGCACGGCTCTAGGTGGGCCTCGAACATCCGACCTTTCGATAGAGAGGCGGAGACGTAACAACTTCATCACCGCTCCCGCATAACGACTTCACCAAAAAAAGGTTTAAAAAGGCTACCCCATCACTACACTACACTATGGCTTAGGGCGAACTTTAGATGTCTCAAGGAAAGCTCGTTGTGAGTCAAGTAAGGAGCCTTTTGAGGCCTTTTTATCATTTTGAAGCCTTTTTAGAAAAAATCAAAAAAAAGTTGTATCAACGTTGAGAAAAAAATCTGATTTTTTTTTCGTTTTTTTTAGCTTAATTCACACTTAAAAACGGCTATCGGGAGCTATCTTTAAAAAAAAGTAAAGTTTTTCCAGAACACTTTAAATTTAGGAAGTTTTGAACTTGTTTTTATAAGAAATACTGCGAGATGACCGAGTGTAAACTTGCGCCTATCTGGTTAAGTATTAGTTATCACACCGGAACTTTTCAAGTATTATTAAAAAAATTGATTTATTTTGTAAGTTAACTTTTAGAACCTCTGGTGGTTGCTGATCTTTTTGAATCTCCTGTTGGCTTGAATTATGATTACCTTGGGGTTGATTCGTTCAGGTTTCACTTCGGTATTGTAGTCCAGATCTCCCACAGGGAATGGCGCCCTGCGGTACCCCATCCATACCCCTTTCGGACTGTTAGCGTCAAAGAGGTCGTTGTGGTTGGCCACGAGCCAATTTTTCAGAGCAGCCTAAAGTAAAATTTTTTTTAAAATAGTCTTTAAAACCACTTTCAGGTTTGATTTCTTTTGCTTCCTGATTGTCTTTCAAAAAATTCTGTTTTATCCAGTTTCGCAATTCAAGTCACTACACTGCATGTATGGAAAACTTCTTAGCATATTCACAAAATCTCTAACATTTATTGTTTTCAAGCAATCAGAAATTAATGTTAAGTTGGGTAATCATGGTGGGATCTCGTAGGATTGAAGCCCAACGACCCCACTGGCTTTAGGACTAAGCATTTGTCTCTGTAATGCTTATGCAAGGGTTATGTAATATTTGTTCAGTAGTTTAGAATGCTTACGGCTTCGGGTCGGTCTTTGGGCCGTGCAATCCAACCCTGCTGCAAAGTACACTCAATGTATGCCTCGTGCATCTTCACGAAGTCGCTGTCAATGTATTGCTTGTCCGCAGTGCTGTTCAGCACCAGTTTGTAACACTTACCCATATCGGCGCCTTAAATAACACAAGTCAACATTTTATTTTAGAAGAGAGAGAGAGAGAGAGAGAGAGAGAGAGAGAGATACTGAATCACAGTATTAATTGTCAAGCCGCTTAGCGGATCTTTTGGAGAACACGGGGACCAAATTACCATTCTCGCTCTTAAAGTGTTTTTTTTTGGGCGGGTAGATGTTTTTTTTGTTTCTAGCAACCTCGGCCGAAAAATTTCACCCGGAAATATTGTAATCGCTTCCGTGTGAAACACTCCATTGAAGCAATCAGAATGAAGTATTTCACATAAAGTGCACAGCAATTTCAGTCCAAATTCAATGGGGGCGGATCTAAACTTGGTCAACTTATGTGGGTGGATTTTAAATAGATCCGGATATAGTTAAGCCGTCTGCCTAACATCCGCCCAAACAATTCACTAAGGAAAATTACCGCAGTAGGCATTCCTTGATTAAATGGCTTAAATAAATAATTCTATTCCAAAATCAATGAAATGGGGAGCATTTTTCTCAAAAATATTGTATATCAATCGAGATTCACTTTTTGCATAATCTTTTACTCAGTGGGTACGAACTACTTTGAGCGAACTTTAAGTTTCCTGCCACCGTTTGTAAAAAGCATCATAGGTCAAGATCTGCTTTTTGCGAGTCGTTACAGGATCCTCAACGATCACTCGAACGGAATCGAAAGTAGTATCATATCGAAGCATTTTTAGCCAGGAATCGGATTTTGAATGTTTTTTTTTCGAAAACTTTCTCTCAATGTTGAGAAAATCCTTGTTCTAGTTTTCAAACTGATGATTTGGGGCGGAGAGAAATTAAAAAGAATTACTCTGACCGACTCTGTTTGAACATACAAAAATACATCAGTGAGCTTCAACAGTATTTTTCTCTTAATTTCTATAAAGAGTTATGCCAGCGAGTGAATTTGTTTGGATTAGCACCACCCGCTACTTTTCTAATTCATCAAGCTAATGAAACTCCTCAATCAATGTATATCCTCAAAAAATATATCGTCAAAAATTCGAAATTTAAAAAATTTGACGAAGGAAATGTTATTATAAAATGTTCAAAATAATTCAGGGAAGCAATTGAAAACAGACCTGAAATGCGAATGAATCCTCCGGGAGGGCATCCAGGTTCTGACACTAGAGTTCCATAGGTCACTGCAACAGTCAATTTTAAACGCAACTGACATACAGCCACAGTCATTGTTGATTAGGATAGAACACAAATGAACATTGATGAAAACATCGGAAAAACTTAAAATTTGATGATCACTAGAGATTTATGGAATTTTAATAGAAAAGAAAACAAAGCTGCTATTAGTTAATTTCAAGATAAATCGATATTCTTAAGGCTACTTTATTGCTCTCCGAAGCATTGCGGCAAACCCAAAAACAGTGCAAAATTGAAACGAAAGCTCTCTATTTGGAATACAACCAACTTCTTTCAATCAAATATCAGAGCTCTCTTGAGATCAAGCACTTTAAGATCTGAGCTCTGTGCGATTTAATTGAAATTGGTTCATGAGGCCGAGTTGATGAGTCAACTATCGGACAAAAAAGACTTATTCCTTTTAAAAAGCTTGTAGTTTGTGTTGAGTCTTACCTCCAAGGAAAATTGCCGAAAAGGCAAATGAGAGTCCCAAGTTCATCTCGAAGTTTAGTCGAAGGTTTTATCCCAGTTGGTTCACCAACAACTGACTGATCTACTCGAAAGATTGAGATGGAATGATTTTAAAACCCAGTCAAAAGTAACTACGAGAACTCGCAATATGTTACAAGCAGCAGATTTAGAGATTTGATTGTTTAATGTCAAAAACCTGCTGAGAAACAGATTTTTCTATCTTCTTTGAAAAGAAGAAAAGACATTCTTCGATATTTGAGCATCTTGGAAAGATCAAAGGATAATACATGCATGGTATAAATGTGGATCGATTGATTTCTTTGTTCATTTGTTAGAAGTAAAAAGCTATACCAGACAACAGTCATCGAAAATATCTCACTTTTCGAATCAAGTAAAAACATTAAAAATTGTTGTTTTTTTAAACTAGTGCCAATTTTTGTGTGTGGTTGAAACTTTTTCTTATTTTTGCCGAATAATTTTTTGATTTTTTGTCTATTGATGTTTTTTCACTCGAAATTAAAGCGAATCTGAAAAATGTTAAAATGTTAAAATTTTTTTTGATCTTTTTTTAGGTCGACCAAATTAATTTTTGAAGCTCTCCCAAAGCACTAAAAAACGCCTGTTTTGGCCAAATTGAGCCAAAACAAGCCGAAACAGCCGAAAAAATCCCTTCGAAAAGAAAAGGAAAGAAGGTGAAAACATTCGATAACAATTAAAAACTTACTTCAAATTTATTTGAGAACAATTCTTCTGTCTGGATTTTTTTGTTGCTAAATTTGTTTTATATTACTTTTTACTTAACAAATTGTGTGCTGGAAATTGTTTTTTCATCAAAAATACTCCATAAACAGGACTGTAGGGTCTTGCCTTGATACAAGACAGAGGCAGATATAAGATTTTCTAGAGGGGGGATTTTCAAAAAAAAATCTAAAATTTTGGCCACCTTTTCTCAAGTAGACCAAATTGATTTTCTGAGCTCTCCCAAATCACTAAAACTTCCTGTTTTAATCACAATTTCTGCGCCGTAAGCAAAATTTAAAAAACAAGCCAAGAAAAGGTTTTTAGGCACTTATGGAAAACTTTGACTAAAAAGACGCGTTTTTTGGCGCGCTCTTCCCCTTCAAAGATAGTAAAGATTGGAGTCCGTCAGCATAAAATGGATATTTCAGAATAGTGCATTGGGTCGGCAGGGGGTCAACAACCGTACAACCATACCCCTCCCCTCCTCTTCAAAACGGTTTTGGGGGGGAGAAAATATTGATTTTTAAAAGCTAACTTTAAGTATAGCCTAGATTTTTTTAAATCAAAATTAACCGTATTACTAAAGAAAGTTGATTTAAAACATTCGTTTGTGTAAATAACAGCATTAAAACAGCATTGCGTGTTGAATGAAAGGCCTATTTTATACAGAACTATTTTAAAGAATTAATACATGCTTGATGAAGGCATTCTACTGTAGATTATTTAGGTGAATATGAGATTGTGCGGTTGCTCCTTGAGAAAAATAGTTGTGCTAGGAGAGGTTAATTTACTACGGACAATTTGCAATTTTTTTAGCCATTTTTCTTGCCCGCACGCTGCAATAGGCCCGAACAAAAGAGCATATACCTTCCTCCTTGGAAATCCTTTGACCAAAAAATTGAGTCATTGCAGGGCCAAACTGTGCATTTTGTGAATTGTAAGTGGATTCCGCAAAAAGGACGCTCCAATTGCTCCTCTTTTGTTCTTTCAATTTCTTTGATAGTTCCGACAAGACTTGTCACTGGAATCCAGGAGCATGCAGACACAAATTGTGCGCTTATCCAGTGCACAGTTTGGCCTTGCAGCGGTTTTTTGTCTCGCGCTCTCCTTCAAAATTAGTGTATATCGATGCCAAAGGAGCTTTTAGTAAAATTTTAGGGCCAATGTCATAAAACAAAACCAAAGAAAACCTTTTGTTGTTGAGGGGGAAGGCCAAATCCATGAAAAAAAGGCAGCCACTTCCCCTGATCCCTCTCCTCACTTTTTTAAAAAAAACTGAACAATGGGTTAACCACAAGTAGTCAAGATCAACACCATTTGCGACTTTCTTTTTGTTGCACATACACGGGCAGCAAGTTTCTTAAAAACTATTCAAAGATTTTCTAGAACTTCGAAGTTTACATTTCGCATTCTTTTTTTTCTAACTTTCGAAGAAAGTAAGAAATATCTATGCTTGTGGTTTTTTTTTTATTCAGACCACTTCTCAAAAATATTTTCATCGGGGGATCGTTGCATGTATCGTTGTTGTCCCAGAAGGCGCGCGCACTCCACTAGACTTTCCTGGCGTAAAGAAAGCTGTGAAATGCAGCTATTTGCTGTGAGTCGCTTATTCATCCCATACACGATTCTTAATATTCATCTTAAAATGAAAGTTAGTCAATATTTCATTGAGCAAAAACTAGACAAAACAAGTTTATGGACCGTCACAACAATCGGCGCGTTGCTTTGATACGAGCAGTCTTCTTTGAATATAGCCAGGCTTTTGTGCTGTTTTTCCTTTCACAAATTTTAACAATTCAAATGTCATTTTTGGCTCATTTTTTTAAACTAATTTTGCATGTAATGAAACTTTGATTTGGAAAAGGAAATAGTTCGGAGGTTTCAAACAGGGTTACCTTTACATTTTACAAGGAAGCAATTCTTCAACTAATTTCCCGGGTAACCTCCAAAGACCAAAAATGCTAATCATACAATTCCATAAACTAAGTCTATGAAAAAATACCACTTATACGAAATCCATATATTTTCCTAAAACGGTGTCATCATTTTTTAAAGGCCTTTTTCTTGTTTTGGCATCAAAGTTGGTGTATTGTGCAAAATAAAAAGAAATTTTTTTTGTCAAAAAATGCTACTCAAACAATTTCCATATATGGAAGCTGTATGGTTTGCAATTTTTTGATGGCGACAAGTATTTTTAAAATTTCATCAAAACTTTTTTAACCGTAAATCGAATTTTGAACTAAAAAAAACATTCTCTTAAAAAAAATTGAATGCAAAATTTATTTTTTGTGCGCATAAGGTAGTGTAGTCCTGGATAAACAAAAATTGAATTTTTTGGAGCTTCTCTTTATAATTTAAAAAAAAAAACGTTAAACACTTCTATTTTTCTTGTATGATTTGTTTATGTATGCCTTGATCAATGCCTGTTAATTTAAAAAATCAATTTCGAAAATACTCATCTTTGAGATTTTGCCAAAATTTAGAAATTTGATGCTTTCAGTGAACTATTTGTGTATGAAATCTCTTATACAAGCAGGTCGTTTCCAATGGTCGTTTCCAATAGTTTATTTGTAAAGTTCAAATTTAAAATAAAATAATATACAAAAGAGCAATGATTAAAGTTTATTAATTAATTGAGCAGTTCCTTCTTTTAAGCTTTTAAGATGTCTTTTGTAAGTTTTCAGTAGATTCATCAATCATCATCAGGCACTATTTCCCTTAGATTTCTGACGTTAATGTCACAGAAATTTAGTGACACAGAAAAGTCTCCGTTCGTGAGGATGCGTGTGAACAGAAATACACCTATAACCCCAACTGAGTGCAGAGCCCCAAAAACCACAGCAATCAAGCTCATCTGGAACAAATAATTCTCAACAATGGATCCAGCCACATCTGCGCAGCCCTCGTGGTTGATTTTTGTATCATTGAAACTGCTCAGAGTTTCGCCGCAACCTTCAGTTCTCTGTTTGCAGCAGGAGTCTGGTACATGATAGCCCGGAATAAACACGACCTTCCAGTCTCCGGGGCCCGATTTCCCGCAGCATTTGAAGTCTTCCTGTACTCTGTCCCAACCCCTGAAAAATGATATTGCACTCCTTCGAAATTATTAGCACAAAAATACTACGAAATTTTGAAAAAAAAATAATGAAATTTGTAAGTTTCCTATCTCGTTTTGATTGTTATCGTACGGTTTTATAAAAGTGACAATTTTCTGATCCTTAAAAATATGGGCAACTTTTGGACGGAAATTTTCAAGCACTCCTATACTAACCAACTTAAATAGGCTATCGGTTTGATACCAAATTTGACAAAATCTTGTTCAGCCAGTCCACACTTGAGTTTTTCTCTTTCCTTTTTTGAAGACCTTCCAAAAAAATTTCAAAACGGCTATTTTGCTTAAAACTTCCTGCTGAAAAAATATTGGCTCAAATTGCTCATCTTTGAAAATATTCAAAGATTGTGTTATATGTTTTGTATTGGACCACTCTCTCGAGAAAGGCCAAGATCTACCCAGATATAAACATAACATACCTTTTCACTTCTGTATCGTTTGGGTAATGTATCATTTTCTGATTCACACTGTCCCAGAAAACTTTTCCCGCGTCATCTTTAGTTAACAACGAGAAAATCCCAACGCCGATCAGCAAAGCAATCAGCACGAGCAGTACACACTTATAGATTTCGACCAGGTGTTCCTTCGCAGGTGGATGGATTCCAAAAAGTCCAACCACGGTACCCACGATCAGCATGATGCCACATACCAAGTAGGATACTGTGGCAATATTTATGTGGTGAAGGTCAAAAGCATGAAAGTCATGCAGTCTGAGAGCATATTCAAAAATGCCTGTGATAATAAATCCAATTACGGATATTAATGATAAAACAGCAAAAATGTACAGAAAAGACTGTAAACGACGTTGTAAAACATTAAACGTAAGCATTTTGACGAACTACCAAAACAACAAACCAAATAAAAATATATGAAAAATGTGCACGCTCAAAATTTTTTAAACCAACTTTTCACACGCGCGTTTTTGTTACTTTTTTTCAAAACATTGCTCAAAATGCTGCAGTTACAATGTTGTCATAGTTATTTTCAACATATGGTTAATTTTTCATAGTTAAGCTGATTTTTTCTGCGGCTGACAAAATTGCGTGGCCTGCAAAACAAACCATTTTCTCAATTTTGCTCGAACATATTTTATCAATGATCTTTTTGTTGCGACCATTTCAAAAATTAGGAAGAACTTTGTATGCGGGTGTTTGAGTTTTTTCTCTCTTTTTTTGTTTTCCGCGCAAAATCAGCTGCCACAAAAAATCATCGGAGATAGTGATATATTTTATTAAATTCTTTCAGTCATGATTCGAGTGAGATTAAAAAAGTTTGAAAAAAATTTCCCAGTTTCGAGAAAAACGGGTTTGAAACTTTTGATTTTTCATCTTAATTCGAGCAAAAAAAGCGAGCGAGCATGCTTATTCAAGCTGAATTTAGGCCGTTTACAACAGCTTGTTTATGCTTAATTTTAAATTTACTCTTAGGTAAAATTAGTTTTTGAACATTTTAGATGTCATTTTGAGATTCAAAATTTCAAAAAATCAAAACGTTTCTGCAAAAAAAAACTGAAAAAACTTTCGATTTTTTAAACTTTTTTACAATTTTTTTTTCGGTTTTCTAGCCATTTTTCTTCAAAAACTGTTGTTTTGTTTGCCTGTATTACTATGACCGTCAAATATGCCTAAATTATAGTTTTACGTCAGATTCTGTATCACACCACGCTGAAAAAACTACAATTAGTTTGAAAAAATTTTTTTTTGCAAATTTCTAAAGACTATGATGTTGTTCATGTACAATTGTCTGATGTAATTTCGGCATATAAAATTGAAGAAAACTAGCAAAATAAACAGTTAAGTTTCATAAGATTTCAGTTGAAAATATGTTTATTTATATTTATGCCTGATTCATATTTGGTTTTTCTACGTTATCACTTCAATAATTTTTTTATCGCACTTTTGATGAACACTGTTTAAGACTGAAATTGGATTTAGGATATTTGCAAGGGGAGAAATATTCCGAAACAATCGGAAGCTTTTCACAAAAACACCAAAATTCCATTCTTTGGAACGTTTTGAATAAATAAACTTAAGACTGAATGAGTTTCTCAATAACTCTATAGAGTTATGCTCTATAACTATTTAAACTCAAACAACTGAAGAAAAAAAATCAGTTCATTAAAAATGAAGCAATAATTGGTGCAATCTAATGAATTTTTTAAAACTTTTTCAAACA